TTAGTCAGCAGCCTGGTTATCCCCTCCTCCAAGTCACTGATTTAAAAGGTTGAACAGAATCAGTCCTGGGGGACTCTGCTCATCAACAGCTGCCATCCTGATGATTCCCTGCTGAGTCACACTCTGCTTGCCCTAACCGTACCCTAATCCCTCAGACACTGCATCAATATATCCCAAAGTTCAACAATTTCTTGACCAGGATATCATGCAGCACTTTGTCAAAGACTTTACTGAAATCCAGGTAAACCACATCCACCATGTCTCCTCCACCTAGCCGCCTCAAGATTTTATCACAGAATTCCACAAGGTTCATCTGGCAGGATCTGTGCTGCATGGCTGCCAACCTTCCATTCCTATTTAGGGTTTCTAGAGCTTTCCATTGTTTTTCCCAGAATGTACGTAAAACTAACTGGCCTGTAATTCCCCATATTTACCAGTGTAAAAGGGAACTGACATATAACATATATGGGCTGTTTTTCTGGTGTTTGTCAGGCGTATAAGACAACCCCTAACTCTTGAACAATAACTCTTGCATACTTATATAATGTCAGTTGGCTTTAGTAGATACTTGTCAGCCAGAAGCTTCTAGACCCTTGTAATGTTATGTTGTTCTAGCCAATAGCCATATTATCTCTCTAAATTCACTCAAGCTCACATGATGTAAAATGATGTGATAGCTATCACTTTGACCCTAAACCATAGCTCTCCACAAAAGAAGAAAACATGCTTGCTTGCTTGCTTTATTTATTTAATTTCTATACCACACATAGCTGAAGCTGATACCTCTCTTTAAAAAAGCGAAATTGTTTTGTGTGGAAAGGGTTCACTTCCTCCTTCTCCTATATTGTGCTATAAAGCACCCTCCCTCGCCCCTTGTGGTGATTCAGTGGTGGCTCAATCACAAGTCTGATTGCCTCACATCTGGTTTAAGTTGGTCTAAAAACAAATTATTTGATCAGTGCAGCAACTACTATTCATTAGTGTAATAGTGACACATAGTGGCTAAAGGAAGTCATGCATTTTGTTCCCTTCCATATTTTAAAGCACACATACACAAGTCAGTATTTTTCATTGAGACCCATATTCACGCTACTGGCAGTGTAAGCTTTCAAATTACACAGAACTTTAGGTGCATTATTTCAACACAAACAATATAGAATGACAATACATGCTCAAGTGTTTGTTAAACCAGCAATGAGCTCAAAGGTTTAAAAAAAAAAAGGAAAAATAGTTTCATTAATTAGGCTATGAATCTATCTTACATTGTAGAAGAGAAGGGATAGCATAGAGGCATCCCTTCTTAACTAGAGGCAGGAAGATGTTTCAAAAAAGAGACACATATTAATTTGGAAGGCATCTTTTCATCAGGACTCACAATAATCTGATTCAAACGACATGATAGCTCACTTATTTGGGTTAATTAATCTGCAGGAACTGCTGTGCTGTTGGCAGATGCCTACAGTCACTATTTTTGCATGATGTCTATGGTGCCCAGGTTGCTGTGGCTTGTCAAGTCATGCACATCCAACCCTTAAATAGCCCAATCTTGTGTTTTATGTGAACTGGATCAATGCCTTTTGTCCTAGTAAGAAACAACTTTGTCTACCTGGATTCAGAACAGGTAAAACACTAGTCCAGTTATATTCCACTTATCCCTCCCACTGAAGGAATGTGAGAAGACATAAACCTTTGCCTCAGGCCAGGCTTGGTCAAGATGTTCTGTGTTTTTGCATCCTGTCAGCACTGCAGAGCACAGATAATCTTAAAGGCTTATACTGTGTGGAGATCTGTGGTAGCATCCTTGGTAAAAAATGCCATATACAGTAGCCTCTCAGCCTCTCATGTGGATTAGTAAATGCTGGATAAATACAGTATCTGGTTGCTTGAGAGTTACTATTAAAATAGGCCTAACTAATACTATACCCCATACTATACCTTAAGCTTTGTATTGATATTAATATTGAAATACAGTAGTTAAAAGCAAATAAAGACAAACTTCTATCTTCTGTGACTGAGCCTTAATGTCATAGATTGTTGACAAACCAACATTAAATTCCCTCATGAGCACTGTGCAACTCTCACCATTCTCAGGCCTCTTCCATATTTCTGTCTTCTGCATGAAGGTAAGCACTATGCATTTATGCTTACTTGGGACCTGTTTTGACATATTTGGGGTTGGGTGGGAACACAAAATTTGAATAAAAATGAATCCCAACCGACCGGTATGTTTATACATGGTGAACTGGCAGTAGTGGCAGACAAGAGTGTGGTGCACAAAGCTTGGGCGTATGGCAGGGTGTGCCAAGTTTAAACTTACATTTCTACTAGAAATTGATTTTAATATTTATTTAAAGTGTTATTTCTTTGATTTTCCCCCAGTTGCTTAAGTTCTGGTTAACAGAGAGTCTATTGTACACAGCAACGCTTAACAAGCAAACATTTATTGTGCACCTTATTGACAGTGGGTGCTTCCACCAGTGGGCTGTTAGCATTATGAACCATCAATCATTATGGAGCAGGGTGGATAAAAATCATTTTAAAAATTAATAGATTTTTAAAATTTAAATTGCAATTTTTATTCAACAATTATTCCTCTGTTGAATAAAACTCGAACTGTTATTCAACAGTTATCCTATGAAATAAGGATTAGTTTTTAATTAGGCAGCATGAGGCTGTATATTCATGCAATGTTTAAATTTTTTGATAAATGAATTCCATTAATCCATTCACAATGTCATGCTCTTCCTGAGGTTTCTGTAAATTAGTGGGCAATTTCTCTATCTAGAAGATAATCTCACAGATGCTTGGTTTTACAGCTCTCAAAACTGTGAATTTCTGTCTGTGGAGATCACATGCATCTTCTTCACAGCAAAAGCATTATAAAATAAACAGAGTAGAGAAAAAGACCTTAATCCCATTGTTGTGTCACAAATCTATGTACACAGAATCAACCCCTTACCTCATAAGTGCTAATTTAAAAAAAAATCAGAAGAGGATTAATAGAAGAGGATTATTGGGAGTCAAATAGCTTCGCACATAAAGCTAAGTGTGAGAAGGGAGTGGCAAGCAGTAAAAATGAAAGTGAAACCGTTTGAGCAGAATACTCCACCTGTCTTTGGGTCTTTTTCTGTAAAACCTGAGGTTTATCACATTATTCTTTCTCAGGCAGCAGGCCATAAAAAAGACTCATTTGGGGAATTTTTAATGAAGTTCCTCTACCTATGGGTAAGGTAGGCATGCGTGTCTATTATGTAAGATAACCATGATTTAAATCTCACTGTTATGCAGCTATTCTTTTTTTTCTGGAGTAAGGAAAAAGATGGAAATTATAAGACAATACAGGAAACATATAAAAGATGCAGGCTAGAACGTTTCGTAGAGTTCTATGAATGAGAGCAATTGCATCAGAAAAGCGTCTCGTGAAAGCAACATCCATATACTTCGGAACTAATACTAGATTTGGCTGGGCGTGAGAAAAAAAATCAAACAATCCATAGAGAACTGTTTGATGCAGGGTAAAAAACCTAAAGGGGGGAATATACAGTCATTTAGAACAACCTTTTTCAGCCTGGTGTGTGATGCGTTAGCTGCCTGGAGTGGGAGGGCACCTGGTTGGGGAATGCTGGAGTAGGGCTTAACATTTACTTTCCCCTCCCCTTCCAGTGCAGACGCTGGGTGATATCCTTTAGCACTGTTGCTAGTGGCGAAGTCGTGTCCGACCCATCATGACCCCATGGACAACGTTCCTCCAGGCCTTCCTGTCCTCCACCATCCCCCGGAGTCCACCCAAGCTCACACCAACAGCTTCAGTGACTCCATCTAGCCGCCACCTCCTCTGCCGTCCCCTTCTTCTTTTGCCATCTATTGTTCCCAGCATTAGGCTCTTCTCCAGGGAGTCCTTCCTTCTCAATCCTTTAGCATCACACAGCCTTATTAAGCGAGGTTCTGCTATGGGGCCTCGTCTGGGCAGAGCCGTACGCGCACCGTCACGTCCGCCACCACACCGAGCTCAGCGGGGCGGGCGAAAAGCGAAGAGGAGCGAATTCCCCTTTGCTTAGACCTCTGAGAGAAAGTAGAGCGTCATCATCATGTGGAACCTGCCCCAGGACACATGCAGATAACGGCAACAACCGAAAAGTAAAAACGCGGGGCTGCCGCTGCGCAGAGAACTTAGTACAGCGGCTGCGCGGACGATCGATGTTTCCAAGACGAGTAGGCGGAAGAGAAAGAAGCGGTGGCCGTTTAAATAACTTGAGGGGCTGAAGTGTGTTTTCTAGTCACTTGCTGCCTCATGCGAGAGCAATCCAGGCTGGAATTGACTGTCCAATGGCGTTATTCCTCTAAAGACATGAAAGTTATAAAGCTGAGCTGCACTGCAGCCATCCCAGTTTGTGCTTAAACGAAGATTTAGTATTTACGAGAGAGCCAAACCCTATCGAATTCAATGCGGTGTTAACTATAATTTTTTAATTGACATCCTTGTTACCCCTGAAGTGATCGGTGACAATAAACACGCAGAAAGAGAAAGCGAGAAGAAGCCAATTAGAATCGACGTGCTTAGGAAGCCAAGTGATACAGCAAGCCTATACTCGAGGCGCAAGCGCGTTGAAGTACTAGTTTTATGGCGAGTCCGGTTTGGTGGGCTGGTTATAGTGACGAAATACCTAACCAATGGCCTTGGACTTAGGAATCGTAAAGGTAGGACAAATACATTAGTTGGCCTGACGGACTGTGCTTTTGGCCAATTAGAGAAAACCAAGGACGAAACAAGTGCAAAAAGTCCGAGTTAAAACCGCGTAGATAGGACCGTCCATCATAAGCTTATGAGGTGGAGTCTCATTTGATGGACAGCTCCTGTAACTACTCCGTCGCGAGAAAGTTGAGGAGTTAGCCAATGGGAAATGAGATTTGAAAGGAAAAAGGGCATGTCACGTTAAAACAGTCAGATAGCTCAACCAATAGGCACTAACGTTATTGCGGTACTACCCAATAGACGGCACTGAGGGCGGGTTTTGATGTGTTTGGGTTCGTGCTCCTCTGGGGAGTGAGACGAGGAAAGTTTATTTTTTTGGTGATGGTGGCTCTCCTCGTTCCCCCCTCCAGCCATTTGTTTTGATCTCGATATCGAGTGGCTGAGTTTTCCGGGCGGGTAAAACGTGAGGGAAAAGCAGCTCCCTCAGCAGCGCCAGTAAGAAAGAGGTGGGCTCCGCCTGTATACCGCGGCGGGCGAAAAAGCGACGGCCGTGGCTCCTTGTAGGTGAGTAGCAAAGCAGGCCGCAGAGATCTGCACGGAGTTTTTCTCAGTAGTCGGAGCTACTCTTGCTGAAGGCTTTTGGGGCCTTTTCGCGGCCTCCTCGCTCCTCTGCCAGGAGAGACCGCAAATCTTTGAGGAAGGCAAAGAACTGCGTCGGCTTCGGCCCCTCCTGCTGTCTCTCCGTTATCACTGTGCCCTTAGTGTCATCATCATCTTACTTTAAGGGAGGCTTTTTCTCATCTCGATTCTGTGGTTGTAGATGTAAAAAACTCCGTTCGATAGTTGAAACAGGGTTATTTGGCTGTTGCAAAAAGGGTGGGGGAGGGAGGGAGGAAAGGGGTTTCCATTGTTGCGCGTGCGCAGTAGCGCTTCACTCTGAGGGCATTCACGGTGGATAGTTGGTACTTGGGATTGGGACAGGCAACCCCACTGTGAGAATCGTTGTCTGGGAGGATTGCGTGTGCGATGAGTTTGAGAAGGGCTATCGTGGATGGCACTTTCCTATTTCGACAAACCTAGTTGTGTGATTTCTGTAGCACGTCAGATAATCCTCTGTTCGGAGTGGGAAGTCATGAAAGGTTGAAGAGAGTGAGAGGACGGTGATCTGCAGAACCGTCCTTTCCTCTGCTTCTCCTTTTTCTTTTCATCCCCCCCCCCCCCAAAAGCCCCGCTTCTAGACTCAAGTTCTGTGGTGCAATCAATCAAGACTGGACACTGCTGATGAAGACAGCCAAGTATCCTGAGTGTTGGTGTAAAGTCTTATTTATAGCAGTACTAGTTGTAGCAATCTCCAACCCTTTGAATGCAGCATGAAAAATGATCCTAAAAGATATAAATAAATATAACCGCCTAGATTCCTCGCTCCTCTCTCCCCATCCCCAATCACCAGGACTCTTGCTTTCACCAAAAGGGTGGTGACTGCCTCAAGTGTGACTACCTTTGCACGTTGCATAATATTTGCAACTACAAAGAATTGCTAGAACTAGATTTTTTCAGAATGGATACCCCACACTTCACAGTGTTGAGATGCAATGTCTTTTCATCCATATAAATATAATAAGATAAATAATGCATCTTCTTATAAAGTTACCACATCTTTAAGAATCTATTATGAAATGTAACATGAAAACGGAATTTAGCTATTCCTTTATAGCTGGTTCAAAGTAACAGTGGTTATTTGACTTAAACATTATTGGATATCTATACAGAAATATGTAATATTTCAAAGTAGTGCTAAGAGAAGGGCTATCCTACATTACTTGTTTAGCTCTAGAATTCTCAGACTACATTTGATGGTCTAATGCTATTGGTCGAATCCTAGGGTAAATCATGCTTTTCTTAGGTTACTTACGAATCTTAATTATGCATTAGTAATTTCCTTTTTTGCTATCCTGAATCAAGAGTATTCCTTAGGTAGTCTGGGATTGTTTTTTTTTTTTTTTTTTTTTTTTTTTGCTTAAATATTAGGAAAGTATTATCTTTCCTTCAGGGTTGTGCCTGCTACCTATCCTTAACTTTCTAAACATGGCTTTCCTCATGTTATACTTGTGTAGTATTTTGTTTTGTTTTTTAATAACAGTTCTGCTATATGAAAACATGAAAGGTTTTTTCCCTTTTTAAAAGTATTATACTATTTTTTTATTCTGTTGACTTACTATGAACATTTTCCTTTTGTATGTGTTAAAGGACTTAATGCTGCAAAACAGACCATGATAATATTTAGGTCTTGTGATTTTTAGTACTATTTTGGTTTCTTGTAGCACATATTACAGGTTAGCTTAGAGCAGCTTGTCTTTTTTTATCTCTCTAAGCTAATTCTGCAGTAGGAACTTCTAAATTGTTAGGCATTTAATTGGTAGTTGCTGGAGATTTATTATTAACTGTGCATTCCACAGACTAGTACTATATTCATATCTTTAACATAAAACTTGATATTTCTTAAAACAGAAATATGCTGTAAGTGAGATGGAAGACTCTGATTTGTGCAGACTATGACATCATTTCCTGGGAATCTATAATTCAGAACTTAATGTCCCTATTGGCTTTTCATGGTGTTAGTGCTCTTTTGTGTAACCTGAAGTGCCTGATCCTGCCTAATCTTGGAAGCTGAACAAGGTCTGGTCTGGTTGAAATCTGAATGGACCACTCAAATGTTGTAAACCACCAAGAGAGCTTCAGCTACGGGCAGTATAGAAATGTAATATAATAATGATGATACCCAGTTCAGAACGTACAGTCAGACTTTTATACCTTCATGAGTACATTGTTCACTTGTTCCCATGTGATACTGTTGCATTTTAGCCATATGCATCTTTTTGATGGTACCTCTTATAAAATAAGAGAGCTTGTAGATGTATTCTCGGCATCCTCTCTGTTAACTTTAGATCACTTTCTCTCCACCTTTCAATAAAATCCAGAGCAGAATTTTGCAGTGAGGGAATGAGGAATTAGTTCATTAATAAAAACTTTATATTAGATAAGGGTGTTTGGACTATGTGCTTCTAAGCCCACACTCCTTGAAAACACATAAATTTCTTTACAACTTGCATAAGAAAAATTGAGGACTGCACAATACATTGTAGTTCAGTTTGCCTTAGGGATAGTTCACAGCAAATAACACTAAATGAACAAAGATGTGAAATCAGCACAAGTTAGTGGTTAAAGTTGATGTTAACATACGCCTTAATTCTGGTTAATGTGGTAGGGGTTTTAGAAGATCGTGCAAATTCCTATAGCTAGCTCCTGACCCTTTTACTTCTGTTTGGAGAAGAGTTGGCACTATATCTACATTCACCCTGCATGTCGCAGAACAGTTGTCTCCTAATCATTTCAGTACATAAACTATGAGGCTTTCCTTAGCTCTTTACCTCCTCAACCCTGCTTAATAATAATTTGAGCTACTGTGGTAGAAAGGCTGTTCATTAAGTTTCAGTAAAGCATTCTTTGTGTCATCGTATGAAAATCACATCTAGAATACTTTTGGTTAATGAAAGAAATTCCAGAGAGAACCTTAACAGCTAGAACTCTGGCACTAATGATTTAACACTATGCTCAAGTTGCATGCATTTTACTTGTTTATCTTTTGTACTACCCAATAACCAAAGCTCTGTGCAGTTTACACCAATCCAGTATTTCGGTTTTAAATGACATTACTGCAAAAGGGAGATGGATAATTGGAGGGCTTTCAACTTGTAATAAATGTTTGAGTAGTTAGTCTCAAAATGTGGAATGACACTAGGTTCAGAGATGTATAATTTCCAATTTCTGAATGTTTTAAAGCCTCTTCTAACCACAGATTCTGTATATTATTGTATTTAGCCATCCTATCGCAAACGTATTCTGAGTGGCTTCCAAACAAATAGAATGAAAAAAACAGTATAAAGCAATACAGACTGGTAGAACAAAACACATAATTTAAAATGCTAGATTTTAAATTGAGAGAAACAAGCTTTTAATTTTTTTCCAAAGTTTATTTAATGGAACAATCCTATGGCCCCTAGACATTGTGGGGGTGGGTGTAGGATAATTCAGAATGCCATTTCAAGGCCAGAGGTAGCATTCTGACCTTGATTCTCCTCTTCTGCCCCCTTGCAGTTGGTGCAGAAAGAACTCTGTCAGCTACTCTCTGGGGTTAGGAAAGCAACTTTGAAGAGGTGTCAAAGGGGACATTTCTGCAGATGGGGAGGAAACTGGGTGACCAGGATATGAGATATTCTGAAGCTGCTCCAGCTTCCTTTCCACTCTGAGACACCATTGTAAGGTAATTAAACTGCCATTTAATAAAAATGCAAAGAGGGAGAAGATCACCTCTGTCACTCCTCCCACTCCCCACTGGATGAGCATTCAACCGCTAAGTTGAGAGGTGCCTGCTCATCTTGTTTGTATTATGTGCATAACATTTTGATTTGATACCCTAAAGCCCATCAAGATGATGCTCAGCAAAGCTATTAAGGTTCAGGTAAGCTCCTTTTGCAAAAGGCAGTCTTTCAGACAGCCATTCTTAAGCTATTCAGGGCTTCAAAGATTAATATATTCTATTATTTCAGTCATAAAGTGATTCTTTTCATTTTTCAATTAGCTTTTTAATTGGCTTGCATAATGATGGCTATAGCATTCATAATTCATTTTAATAGTTATGAATAACCTGTTCTTGGAGAGTTCCAGTTTGTAATCAGGAGAAGGAAGTGTTGGTGGGGATAAGACTATGGTTCATTCATATAGTTCCAAGCAGCCTAGTAATAATGTAAGGTGAACATAACAAGAACACAACTGTGAATTCAGCTGTGCTAAGAGTTTAGAGGCTGTTCACTTTACTTTGATTTAAAATATTTATATTTCACTTTTCAGTAAAACAGCTTCCTAAGTGGCTAAGGGCAAATCAAAACAATGAGATTAACAACTGTATACATACTAAAAATCAAGTGGGAGAGCAGTAAGAGGCCAACAGTAAAACAATTGGCAGCAGAATCAGAAAAAATAGCAAATCAATGTATTACTCATACAGTACCATCTTTAACTCAATTAATTATGCTAGGTCTATATGTTGTTGATGTTTGCCAGTGACTGTTGCAAACTTGATACAGGTGAATAGCACTAGTTTGGTCATTCCAGTTAATTATTCGTGGGAATTGCTGTAGACCTTGGTTTCTTTGTTGAGATTTTAAAGCAGGGTTCCCCTGTCTGATACCATCTAGATGCTTTGGACTTCAGCTCCCATCAGCTTTAGTCAAGATGGCCCAGGGTCACCAATGCTGGGAAATGACCATTTTTCTTTGTCATCAGCACCATGTCACATTCCCAGTGCTATGTGTGTTCTGAGTCTGGGAATGCAGATTTATTGTTTCATTGTGCAAAATTTTATTATATATGCATTGCTTGATGAAACACATTGCTCTTTTGAAATGAGTTTTCATTACTGCTAGTGCTTAGTAACATATAAGGTTGTCACATCTGCATCTGGTATTAGGTTCACATAGCATGTTAACCCTCCTTGCTTGTTTCAGAATGGCTTGTTTGTGATTAACCAACTATGTTGCAAAGTTCAGACAAGAGGTCAATCCACTTTGAAAACAAATATGGCTTATAACCTATCATGGCTTATTATGTTGTATGAACCCAGACACAGACTACTCCTAAATGCTAAGAGAGACGATACAGTGCTACAGCCTCACCATCTTCCTTCACTTGCTAATTTTTCCCATTTCTGGTGGCCAGCATAATTTTAATATTGCCTTGTAGCAAGCAAAAGTGCTTCCTGGCTTTTTGTCTGTGATGAATATGCAAGTTTCCCCTAACTCCAGTTTAGTTTTTAACTAATTCTACATGTGCTTGATAAAACAGCAAAGTGAATTTTATTAATGGTTAAGGTATTACAAGCATATAATGTAAGTAAGTTAGGTTCTATTCATGCTTCTGTGAATTGTCAAGTAAGTTTAGACTTTACTTTTTGTTTTATGTGCCTAGCCCAATTTCTTGGGAAGTTTTCTTTGGGATCAAATATATGCCAGTGTAATTTTCTTTAGAAGAATATCTTCAGCTTGACTGATGCTCTAATTAATGTTAGTCTGGTGAATTACATATCATTGTGCAGGTTTGCACATCACACTAAGTCACGCTGCAAGTAAACCACCACAGTACCTGTAAGACAGTTGAGCTAGCTGTACTTGTCCTCCCCCTCATTCCCCTCAATTTTTTTAGTGGGTCCAGCAAATACCTCAGGTGTCTTTGCAGCAGAACTTTTCATTGCTTTGGTTCCCATGTCCATACCCTCTCTGAAGTAGAATTGTTGCAGGTTCCAAGCTACTGTCACCCCCTAGCATAAATTAAAATGGAATTCCAAATTCATTCATGTTATGAGCCCTTATGAAACAGGGTGGATTTTATTTAAATGTAGTCAGTGAGACTAGAAAATCATGATTTTCTTACATATTTTGTACACATGCCTACCTTACCCATAGGTAGAGGAACTTCATTAAAATATTCCCCAAATGAGTCTTTTTTACGGCCTGCTGCCATTATAGGTTTTCTCTTCCTGAGAAAGAATAATGTGATAAACCTCAGGTTTTACACAAAAAGACCCAAAGACATGTGGAGTATTCTGCTCAAAAGGTTTTACTTTCATTTTTACTGCTTGCCACTCCCTTCTCACACTTATCTTTGTGTGTGCTGCTATTTGACTCCCAATAATCCTCTTCTATTAATCCTCTTCTGATTTTTTTTCTTTTTTAAATTAGCACTTACGAGGTAAGGGATTGATTCTGTGTACATAGATTTGTGACACAACAATGGGATTAAGGTCTTTTTCTCTACTCTGTGTGTTTATTTTATAACGCTTTTGCTGTGAAGAAGAGGCATGTGATCACCGCAGACAGAAATTCACAGTTTTGAGAGCTGTAAAACCAAGCATCTGTGAGATTATCTTCTAGATAGAGAAATTGCCCACTAATTTACAGAAACCTCAGGAAGAGCATGACATTGTGAATGGATTAATGGAATTCATTTATCAAAAAATTTAAACGTTGCATGAATATACAGCCTCATGCTACCTAATTAAAAAGTAATCCCTATTTCACAGTGAATAACCTTCAGACTATATTGTATCTTAAATGGAAAACTATCTTTAGATACATTTTTTCCTTAAAAAGCATTCTATTAAAAATCCAGTTTAAATAAAACATTGCAATTTAAAAAAACATACAATTTAAATTTTGATTTTTTTAAAAAATGACTTTAATGCATGCTATTATGAACACTGTACTGCATTTAAATTATTTGGTGGGGGATTTTTCCTGTAGTGCAAGACTGCCTCCAATACTTAGCTAAGCATCCTACTATTCTCTTTATATTGCAAGCTAGCATGCACATTAAAAAAGACTGCTTTATGTTATTTTAAAATAATTCATCTACTCTCCAAGTAAGAACACAAAGTAAAAGGAGTGGGGTAGGGGGAGAGTTACTGCTGTCACCTGGTAGGTCTCAAGCCATTTCTGACAATTTACATTAAAATTGCCCTGCCAGCTTTGGACAATACAGCAAGCCACCATTTGTATGAACAATCCTAAAACAAGCCATGGATTTTCATTTGTGAAAAATAACTCACCTTGGAGAAACCAGATTGTGTTTGCACAACATGAAAACTTACTATGGCTAATCACCCTGGATGAGTTGTTAGATAATGCAAGTGTGGTTGGTAACTGCTGCCATGCTTTCCACTTCCCACCTTTAGATATTTTTGCTGATTTAGGAGCTTCAGGGCATAATTCATTGCAACTGTATGAGGAGTTGTTTGATCTTAACACCTAGAATACATTTTAGCCAGTGATTTTACTGCATTAATTGATAAAATAACGTTGTGATGTAATGTTTCTCTGGGAAACAGCAAGTGCAATCAAGTAATGTTGAAAGTTACCTGCAGTCTTTGCTAGCTGTAAAAAATGCAGACTACAAAAAATTTTCCTTAGGATTGCTTGTGCTACTTTGTTCCTTTCAAGGCGTGTCTTACTTCAGAGTGTAACTGTGTTCCTTTTTCTCTTTTACAGTGGATAGACTTTTGCACTGAATGTAGCCAGGACAGTCCTTTTGGGCTTGTGTAGCCCTGAGAAGCTGTCAAGGTAATTTTTGCTTAACTACAAGTACATTATTAGTTAAAGAAATGGAATAGAGAAATAAGGTACAGAAGGCAAAACCAGTACTGATGCATCACTATTCTTGAATGGCAAGTCATAGTGTAATGAATAATAAAATAAGAAATTGTATTCTTGTGTGCAGTGTTTTGTAAAATGATTGAGAGTACACTATATCTCTGTTAGGAGAATGAAAACACAGCGACCCACTTCAAATGATCAGACACTTTTTAAATATTCAAACTGTGGCTTTTGTCTGTTGAATCTAGGTAGTGGGAGTTGTACAAGTAATAAACAACCCTTGCATGATCTTAGAACAGGCCATGGGTTAGGTGAGGATCATTTAACTCTTTCATAGCCCTACCACCTTCAACAGCTGCTGTTGTATTTTGATTATTCAAAAACACTGCTCATGGGCACTGTAGTTTAGCATGACATATATATTCCATGCTGGCTTATTTGATTCTGTGAACTAGTCCATTGTTATGGAAGAGTTATGCATTATACCTGCCAGTAGAGCAGTATCATTTGTCTTGTCCTGTCAAATCTCAGGAGGGGTTTTGGATATACTAAGTATTGCTCAAGGTTTATTTATTCAAATAATTATGTCAATTACACTGGCACAGTAATCAAGACCAGATTGTCTTAATATTCAGCAGAAAAGAACTGATTACAGCACAGGCATCAGAGAGGTATATATTCCTCATCCTCGACAGGGGCTTTCTTTAACCTGCCTCCTCGCTAGGTCTGAACATTGTGGCCTACTTTTCCATCAACCCTAGCCAGTATGACCGGTAATGTAATCCAAAACATCTGAAAGAATCCAAGAGAAAGATTTTGGAAGTATGCACCATTACCAAAGAACACCCAGTTACCGTTTTATAAATTATATTGCCCTATAATACAACAGTCTGTTATTATGGACTACCAGATTACATTATGACAACCTGCTTCATTATCTTTAGTTAAACTATCTAGTAACACTTTTCCTAAATTGATGCCTGCAATAACTGAAACAAAGGAAGGATAGAACATTCTTCTCTTCAGTTTTCCATTTTCTAAAAAAATGTTTATAATTTTCACGTTCTTGATTCGTCTAAATGAATTTGGTGGCTAATTGTGGCCAGTGCCCTAAACGTCTGGGGATTGGAGTCATTTTGGCCTGCCACTGGCTTTGCTTACCTCCAATCTCAATATGAGCTTGAACACTAATCACTGGTCCCATGCAGACTCTACTCTGTGCAGAAGATAGCCCTTGGAACCTGTGTTCCCCTGCCTGCCACTTGCACTTTAGCAGCTTTGTGCTGTTCTCCTGCTTCTACAGCACAGGCTCACTTCTGCAGTTACAGTTTAAGCCTCAATTTTAGTTCCTGCAAGGTAAACACACCTCAATAGCAATTATGTTAGTCAAGGAGCAAGTAAACTTTTTTATATATTCTACAGAAATGCACTGAGGGATCTTAACTCTGCTCAGAAAGCCATAACATAAGTTCTAGAAGTGCCTGTACTTGTGCATTAGAAATACAGAAACAATTTGTCAGGAACTGGCTGTTTGTTCAACAGTAAAGATTTAAGTAACTTCTTCTTTCCACTTTGTTTCAATTGATGGGGTAGCATTCTTGTTGAATTTGTTCATGGGTGATGTAGCATCTTTTTGGTACCATGTATTGATACAAGGGCATGCTTTGCAAAACTGTAGACTTTATTTTTGTCCCAAGAGGTAGAGTTAATGGATCACAAGTTGTATGAGGGTCAAGACTGAGCTTTCTTGAATGATTAGCCATGAACCTATTATTTTCTTTATTCTGACCAATGTAATAACACAACAGATTTGAGATTTAATTTGGAATGTTTTTCTTGAAGCTGCTTTTGTTCAGAAATAGACTGTTAAACCATTCTACAGGCTCCATCCATAAGGCTAATACTTATTGATACATATGTGTGCATCCTTGTTCACAACTGAAATACCTTATGTTGCATGACATATTTTTATGGGCTGATACTTTCAATATTTGCAATGGGCAATAGGAGTCATAAAAACTCAGATTCCAACTTAATTTTTTTCATTGTGTTTCCCTTCCTTTTTTTTTTGACAGAATTTCGTATTTCAGCAGAGTTTTGCACAGATTTTGTTCCCATGCAAACTGATGAGGGAGAAATTTTGGAGGAAGGCAGTTCCAAGGTCAGTGAGATAATAGAATGAGGCTAGAATATGATATGTATGATTAATGTATACTTATCATACATATACAGTGTGTATACATAATACACACTAATATGTATATTAATTGTTCATAAATAAGAAGTTTGAATTTTATACAAGGTGCTTCCAAACAAAATGCCTTGCACTAATAAAGATGAAATTCTTACAGGTTTTCTTTCCCATACTAAGGTTAACAAGGTGAGAGTACATTGCAGTTAACACAAGAATGCTGATCTCTCTAGCATATTTATGTATTGAAGATTGTGGCCTGTGTGCTATACTAATTCCAATATATTTATTTAAAATAGAGTTGTGAATAATCACATATGTTGCTGCTTGTGAAAAGAAAACACTGCCTTTTGGAAATTACAAGAAGCTTTTGTAATCTGGAATAGTTGAGATTTTTTTTCTTGGCTATGAATATACTATAAGGCTATACCACTTAACTGAACTCAGTAGGTTTGTGTTGTACATAATGTAGGAGCTTGTAGGTGTTAGACAGTTTTATCAGTTATTTATGTGGACTTATTTGCAAGTCTGGCTTTAAAATTAAGTTGACATAAAGAAGAAACTGTAACAGTTTCCACATCACTGCATGTAACTCATAGCATAGCTTTTAAGAGATCTTTCAGTTTAAGTATTTTGATATAGTGGACTTGCACGCCAGTGGCTTTATGTTAAGATGATTTGATCATTTTCTTGAAAACAGAGCTACCCAAATGGGTTTCTGACTGAACTTTTTCTGCTAGATTTAGGTTGTCAAACAAATTTCAGATTAGTTCACTAATATAATTGTATAGTACCATAGTGTAATGCTTAATCGATTAGATTCTTGCTCATAAATAATATTAGAAGGGCATATCATCCTCTGCTCTGTTTACCTCTCCTTCACCCAACTATTGCAGAGAATCAGTACTGTGTGATGGTAATTGTATTAAGATAAATCAGGTGAGACTGGATACTTTCTTCAGAGGATTAAAGGCCAAAACACTGAAATTTGTTAGCACAGGTATCATAGTACTGTTTTCTCAGTTTGAGAAACATGATACTGTGCTAGGAGTTTAGGCCTGCACAATTTGTTTAAAGTAATTAAAAGTAGCGTGTACTGCTCAAAAGTATATGAAGTGTCAGACATCTTTATGTAAGCTGCTTACCTGGGGTAAATTACTGCTTGCCGCAGGTGTAGATTGCATGGCTGAATTTAATGTAAGAGATATATTATTAGCACTGTATATATGAAGCCACTTTATACTTAATTACCACGCTTACCCATTTGGGTCAGTACTGTTTTATTTTGACTAGAAACGTTCTGAAAATGGAGGTCTTTTCCACCTGTTCCAACCTTAAAACCTGATCTTTTAACTAGGACCCACTGTATGCAAAGCATACATCCTCCCATTCAATGGTGTATTTGCTATAGTCAGCCAGATTAAGTTGTTAAATGCATTTTAAAACCTTATGGATTTTAATAAGCCCAGTGCTGAACTTTGGTTATTACAAGTAAACAGTAAGTATGCATATTTAATTTGGTTCACCCAGATATGTCTTTGATGTTATCTGAGAATGGACTTGTGCATTGCATGCTTTAGTGTTTCCTTCTTGTGAGTAACTTTTGTTCTTGGTGTGTACAATTATACTGAATTATTTTAACATAATTTAAACTCTTAGCAATATACCTAGTAGTCCTGGGCAAATTGCATTCTGCTCCAGTTAAAGGCAAAATTAATGCTTATTTGCAAGATCAGTGAGACATAATAGTAAATCACTTGTCCAGTTAGTAATCTGTAATACTTATTTGGGGCAGTCTAATGTTCTTCCATGTTTCTTCTAAGCTATCCAGTGTGCTAAAATCTAGGCAAATTCACTTCTGAGGCCTAGTCCGGACCATCTTGATTTATTTGGTTTGTGCTTCTCTTGTCCATGATATAAAAATACTTTGTTTCTCCTTGCCTGGTATTTATAGAGAGAGAAACATGACCTCATATGAAACCTTTAAAGTGTTAATGCCATATAGAAAGGGGAGAGAAGGAAGAACAAGACTTCCAGATCAATTTCTCAGTATCTTTGCTAAATAATCTCTGAGAATGTTGACTAGGTAACACAAGAAGCTGTTTTACTTCCTCAATTAGCATAAATTTATTTTCTAGAGTTTATAGGGCTGTCTGTACTTATCAAAAATAAAAAATTGAGAGAAGCATATAGATGCTGAAAATCTTATTAAGGTAGCTTGCTGTGTATGAATTTCTTGGCACAATTTGTAATCTTGGAAATCTGTTTTAAGGGTTGCTTAATAAGCACATTTCTAATTAGCACTGATGGGGTGACTTCCCTCATCCCTAACCTTGCCTGTGTATTAGAAAGGTGAGGGAAAAGGAAAGCCTTCAAGAAGTGCTGCTTCATAGGGTTCTGGGTATCCTGAGGAGGCTACAAGTCATAAGAAGGTGTGCTCAGATTAGCTATTTCCTACATGGGCCAAAACAGAAATTAGCGCAATAGAGTGAGGATCAGGGAACTGAAAAGAAGAATACATAAGCTAAGTGAAACACTATACCTTTGTTCCTATTAAAAGACCCAGCATCTTTGACTTTCTAAACAAAATGAAGAGTGTTTATAAATTTTGTTTATCTGCTTTTGATCTTAGATTACTTTTGTATAGTTATTTTATGCTTGTCCAGAAACATTCTCTGTTGAGCCCAGATGTTCCTTAGTAATAGTATAACAAGATAAACTTTCTATTTCTAAATGAACTGCATTTATCCTCCTCCATCCATGTCCTCCGTTGGTCCTGCCAGATGATATCTGAGTTGCTGGAGAAGGATGATAGTTGTGTGGGGATTGCTTTGCGGGGTGGGCTGTTGTATTTCTAACCTCTTAATTGCATCTGGCAACAATACAGTGGAGAAAGGCTCTTGTTGGTAGAGGCTGATTTCCTGGTAGGTTTGAGCCCTGCAAATTCTCAATTAAGCAGTGTCTGAATGGGGAGGAGGAAAATGAGACTGGCAAGAACAGGCTCTTCTCCCAAACTGGTATGTTTTCATTTCCATCTTTTCTTTTCCCCTAGCTAGCTGCTAAGATGCCAAAACTGATGCTGCTCGCTTTAACATCTTCTCACTGATGTGATATGAAGTTTACATCCAAAATCAGCTCTTGGTAACTCAGTTTGCTTGTGACACTGGGTAATTGAACCAGTCAGATTGTGAGTAGGCCAATCAGATTTTATGTGGGAGTTCAGTTCAGATAGTGATTTGGTGTTAACAGTTTTCTAACTTCTAAAACCATACAAATACAGAATTCCATTTCTAATAAAGAACATTCATGCTCAAAATTTTAAAGAATCTCTTTCTGTTTGAAGTCTGCAGACTGACAGTGAATATGCAATAGAAGCATTCTGAGGGGAGGAGGAAGGAATGAGAAGTTTGTGAAATTGCTTAACACAAAACAAAGCAAAAACATAGACTTTTCTTGACACAAATGTCTTAGCTGATGTTCAGTACCAAAAACTATCAAAAAGTATCCACTGTCAAGTAGAAAATAAAACTCTCTTTTTCACAGAGCACAATAGTGCATAATGTGATTTGTTGCCATAAGAGGCAATGGTGGTTGCACAAGGCAGGATATAAATGCAGTGTAATGCCATTATTATTACTACTGTTGTTGCTGATAATAATAATAATAGGGGATTAGACAAACCTATGGAGGATAAGGCTATCATAAGTGTATATGCTGCTTATAGTAGCAGTTACTTTTGTTTGATGTGGATAATAATGTAAGTTGTCTAAGACTACAATGATTTCTAGCATACATACCTCGTATTCCTTAGATTGTTATACTGTGTTTGCACTTCTGATTTTCAAGTCCTAGATCACTAGAGAGTCAGTGTAGTGTAGTGATTAATGTGTTGAACTAGAACTGGGTTCAGTTCCCCATTTGTGAAGCCCAAGTCAGTGGTAACCTTGGGCAAGTCACACATAGTCTGCCTTACAGGGCATTTGTGAGGACAGAATGTTGTACCTAGCGAAGGGGAAACCATGTGAGTCACACTGAATTTCTTAAACAAAAGGTGGGATAAAATATGTAAGATTCTGTAGGCCAAAGTTGTTGGTATTTTACAAACTTAGAGAAAAAACTTCAAGGAATCATTTCTACATTGATTTGTCTGCTATACCTATTGCAAAATCAGTGCATGAGAATTATTGAAACTCTTTTTAAAATATCCCTTCACTTTGTAAGGTATGCTGGCCAGACCTACTGGACTTAGCTCTTGCTACAAGTATTAATGCAAGAACATGTTAAACATCCCTACCATCATAGTTGCATATTGCAGAGTAAGATTGCTAACAGTATATAAAGAAGTTTCTTTCCCATCACTGATCTTTTGTTGAAATATCTCCAGTTAGGTTCTGAGGAACCCTGGACCTAGAATGTTGAGGAAGATAGTGTTATCTAACATCCTGGAAACGTTATAACTTTGTGATGATACAAGATGCCCAGAAAGTATTTTCCTGAGTTGGAATTCATGCTCCCAGTGCCCAGATCTAAAAGAGCAATCTCTCTTGGTCAAGCTATTAAACATGCTCTTATGGGCCATGTTTAGACCAGATAAGCTCCCTCTAGTTAACCAAGTATTGGCAATTTCTATTCCTATATGCTGGATTATAAGGAATTCATGCTTCTACACGGAGTTGCTACACGGAGCTGTGAAATCTTAACATTCTAATTTCTGAGATGACTTCCCTGGGGTTTTTTTTTTAATTTCTGCTGCTTTTCTAGCTTGGCTAAAAGATCTAAAAAGCTCCAGATTTTGTAGGTGCCTTTTGGTGAACTTTTTGACACTTTTTTTCTCTCACACATCTTGAGATCATCTGATACTCTGGTAGGACCCCAGCCTCTGTAGTGACAGCCAGGAGTTCTTTGTGAGTGCAGCGGGAATGAACTGGAATCAAAGCTGTTCTTAAGACAGCCCAGTTCCAAAGGAATACACACTTCAGTGGAAGTATGGCTAAAGGCTTCCTTTGAGACTGACAACAGGAAGCACTTTATGTCTTCCAGCAGAAGATTTGCTACCATTCCTGCATGTTGGAAAATTATTCTTTTCAACTATCTGGTAACTCCGCATTGCTAAATTTGCTTTAAGATTGAAGAGTACTTGAAGGCTCTTCAAGCCTTTCTTTCTATCAAGATCTACTTTTCACATTCTAGAAAAACAGAATATTTTCTCCTGTCCAGATGAGACATCCCAAAAAGTTCAACATGTACCCATTCCTGGCAAATCTCCCTCTAGGTGGATGGACCAGCTACAGTACTTTACCCCACTCTGGGATTTGATTTCCTTAGATCTCTCAGTCTTGGAAGTATCTATTCTGGATACTATCTTGGGTTTTGATTTTGTTATCTTCCTTTCTATAGATATTACCAAATTACTAACTGCTTATATTTCTTTGATTGATTATTGTAATTTTCTTAGTTTTCCTGCTTCTACTATTAAATTTCTCTGTGTTATCAGAATTGCTGTTGCTGATTCTGATCATGTTTTTTCAACCATTCTCCTTTACTCACTGTTGCCTTTACTTGTCTTCATTTAAGTTGCAATCTGTTGGGGATGACTATTTCGCCACAAAGTTAGAATATTATGGGCATTACATGGAGGGCAGGAGAAGCATGGAAGGAAAGGTTCCCCCATGCTTCTTTTACCATGCTTCTTTTACCTTTGATGGTCAATTTCAACTGTCCAAATCTGGCTCTTCTTGATAAGAAGAGAGGAGGCTGAGGGGCTGCCAGGATACCTTGCCCACTGGCAGCACAGACCTCTGCCCTGCCCACTCCCAGAAACACTCTCCCAAAGCTGCACTTACAGCCTCAGAGAAGCAGCCAGTGTGGTTCTTTTCATGCCAGCTGAGAAGGTGGGAGAGGAGAGGGGATCCGAGAGCAGATTCCCAGCTTTGGAGTGACTTTCCAGCCTTGTAGCTGGGAATCTGAGAAATCCTATGGCTATCTAGATGCTGCCTAGCAACCATAGGATTGCTCTGTTTATGTTTTCTGTACTTTCAGATATTCCTATTGTCTTAAGTGATGCTGTCTTTCTGGAAAACGTTGGATTTTTAACTGCCCTAAATACTGAACTGATGAGTTTTTTTTCACTTGCCATTAGGAAAGAGAGCAGAGTGCCACGCTAATTGTACATATTGCATAGCTATTTTGAGATTCTTCCTATAGTATAGAAAAGTTGCACTGCACCATTCAGTCAGGAAAAAAATAACAACATTCCCTTAATGTGGCATAAGTGTTCAAATTCATAATCTGTTATGAAAAGTATTTTTATTGGGATGCTTGTCTTAAAACATTTGCATGACATTTCAGTACCATGCTGTTTTCCTCACCATTATTTATTTATATTTATTTAAACATTTATATGCCACCTATTTTGCCCATGGTATCTCGAGGCAGCTAACAACAGGCAATTAAAATATTTTATAAAGCAAAACAGGAAATTGCAGGAAATTGTCATCACTATAGTGAGAGAGGAAGTGAAAGGGGAGAGAAAGAAGTCCTCCAAAGCATCACCACAGCGAGAGATGAACTGAGAGGGTAGTGAGAAAGAAAGGGTCTCCCAAAGCAGGTCTTCCTACCCAATCCATCTGGAGATGGAAATCCCGCTGGCATTTGCTTGCTGCAAAGAGAAGCACTGGTGAGTTGGGCAGCGAGGGGGTTAGGCAAACTTGCAGTTTTTCCACTTTCACAGGGGTCCTGCTCTCCTAATGCCCACAAATATGGTGAGATGACCATACATGTTCTGACTTAAAATTTGTATGTAAGTTGCATTTGTAATTCAAATTTCCATTTTTCCAGGAACAGAACTTGTTCTTTATCTGGGGAACGCTTATATTGAAAACTGTTAATGTACTAATGTCTGAATAGTTGTGCTCATCAGTATATGTTCTTCCTAGGAGTATTCAACTGGAGTTAATTTGCTTGGATTTTTAGTTTTATTGGTACTTTTACTAACAAAAACATTTCTCAAAATGGAAACAGTTTCACTCTGAATCAATGATCTTGTTCCTCAATATCTTCAGTTCTTTCTTTAATATGCTCTTCTTTGGACCCTTCACTCTGTTCATACCAATGTTAATCCTTTATCCGTCTGCATCTTTTTCTCTATGCAGCCGTCTCACTAGAATGCCCTTCTACAACTTCTGCATCATTATTGACTCTTCCAATCTTTATATTAAGGCACCTTCTTAAAATGTATCTCTTCACCCCAGCTTATCCCAATTGACTCTCTTCTCCCTTTAGTTTTCCTCTCCCTAACATGACTTGTCTTTGTCTTTAGTATGTAAACCTTTGCTCTGTGCCTATAGTATTTAACTGTACACTGCTTAGCAACCTTAGGATTGTGTGCATATCTATTTAACAAGCTAGGTTAGGTGCTTTCTTTCCTTCAGTAGCCTTTGCAATAATGGTTACTCATCCATATTTGCATTCTGTTTATTCTTTGCCCACAGCTTCACCTATGGCAGGGCACTTTCATGTTTGGATTTGGTTTTTAAATACAATTCAGGCAAATTAGATTCTAACATTTGAAACTTTCTGACTTCTTTCTTGAACCATTTCCCTATCAGTTATGCAAGGTGGAAGTTTAAAATTGCCCTGACCCATGTTGCACAACCAAATTGTGGATGTCTGTTGGGGATGATAACAGCTTATCGCTAAAGCCCAGCAAGGTGTTTAGGCTCTAACTTCAAAGTGTAGGTCTGTGTGAGTTTTGAGAGTTCTGGCAGTGGCCCAGGAATAGAAGGCTTAGAGGAGTGTGGAGACTGAATACATTGTCAAAGGTAAAAGATTTGTAGAATTAACTGAACAGCTAAACCAAGAAAACAAGAGCCCTTTCTAAAACGTGTGGCATAAAGAAATTATTCCCTCCTCCTTCCTAGTAATTTGGCTTTTAATTAGATGACCATAAGCACTTCTCCCACATTGCTGAAGAATTCTGCTGCTTTTGATTACATTGCGGCATGTGATCTGAAACAACAAACTGAGGTTAAAGCTAACTATATACCTAACTTAAAACAAGCCTATTTAAAACTGAAATATGTGTAAATGACTCCTTACATTTTTTGTTTTTGTTGGTAGTTCATGGGTGTACAAACTTGCTGTTGGCTTTCCTGTAAATGTAGTCTTGTCTGGTCAGTGTCTTTACAGTTTCAACTGCCAGCCCCTACCCGTATCCAGATCTAAGGAAATGTCTATTATCATAAGGAGCAGAAGTTTGATGACTTAACAGAATGTGAAACAACATAAGTTTGTAGCCATTCTGGTATCAGTCTTACTATCATAAAGGTTTTTAGTCTGACCTTTCCTCCTGACATGCTACTTTCTTGCATATGATTAGTTCAATGAGGTGAGTCTCTTTCTGTAGTGGTACACAGCAGGTGCAGGTTTACTACTTCTGTGAGAGCTAAGCTAAAGTAGATGATGCTAGGACAGGATATACTGAAAACCCCTGAGATCTCCAAGTTTTTTGAAACAATTTTTCATGTAAATCCTTATCCACACCAGTAACTTTTTAAAAAGTGAGCTAAAAACAATTTCCCCATCACCCTAACCCACTCTGCTCACTTTTTGCTTCTCCATGCGCTTTAATGCTCTCTGCCTGTTTCCTCAGAACAATGCTTGCTTTGCCCCATTCTTTCTTACCAGCATATTGCTAGAGATAACAGCAGTAGTGGTAAAAGTATAACCTCCCTAAGATGACCTTGATTAGAGTCTGTTTACTAGATCTGTGCCCACAAAGCTTTACTTTGTCGCTTGATGTTTGTACCCATTACGGTATTGGTCTCTACAGATCATGCATGGAGGTTGCATCTTCAACTATTTTAGTTTGAGTAACATAAGAACACTAAAAAAATCCATATTTCAAAGGGTGAATGACAGGAATACCTCAGCAGTACATTTGAATGCTACTCTGAAGAGAAGTTTAAGCCATGTTTCTGCATTCAACAAAATAGAATGGGGCAAAACCCTGGAAGAGCAATCTTCTGTTTCCAATTTTTAGGTGACAGTAAGTCAGCTATTTTTAGGCAATTTTCTCAGCATTTGGTGAATTCAGAACCTTCACTAAAGGAAATCTATACTAAATTTCACAGACTTAGTGAATTTCACAAATCCCATGCCACAGCAGCTTGGTAAATCATGGTGAATAATTAACCCTTTATTAGATGAGCCATGTGCTGCATGTGAGCCACTTCTATTTTCTGTATATAATCTCTGAGGTTGTAAATATGACATGAGAATCTGAACCAATGGGTTGTTTAAGAACTAAACAATCCAGTGAATAAGTAACAACGGTTATACAATCACAACTGCATAGCTCACAGTTTACTGCTATGGCATGTGAACTAGGTCAGTGATTAGACAAATCACGATTTGATAAGAACTCTTAGCTATGGAATGAAATTTTATAATTTATGCACAAATCTGTTTCTCCTACAAGTCAGAGTGCAGCAAGCAAAAAGTATTTTTAAAATAAGTATTTATATGAAGAAAACAATTAACATCATATCTACTTGCTTCTAATTTTAACTACTTAAAATATTATACTTCCTACTTCCTTTAGCTGTGAGCATATACTTAGGAAAATGGACTCTAGAATGACAGTATGACCTTGGGTATGTGCATTTGTTAAACTACAAATGTCAATCTTTTGTTTAGAGCTGATAAGTTTTGACAGGGAAAAGGGCCACATAGGACAGCATGTATTTTGCTCCATCAATGCTGACCTCCAATGCTTGCCTTCGCAGATGGAACATGAGGATTTTGTAATGGAAGGGCATGGCAAGACTCCACCTCCTGGTGAAGAAAACAAACAGTGAGTCATGTTTATTTAAAAAGGGCCTTAATAGAGTAAATGATACAAAGCACTCATAAGTAAATGTGATTAAAGGATTGCTTCCTTTTCAAGGTAATCATCATTTAGTTGTTTTAAGAGTAAATCTTAAATTGCCAAAATAAAGGTGCCATCCTAAACACACTTTTTGAGGAGTAAGTCCCATTAAATACTGTGAAACTTAATTCTGTGTAAGCATGCATTGGGTTGCAGTGTAAATATGCTATATACACAGTCAGTTTCTTACTTTTGGAGCAATGGGATAAATGATGTAGTAGTTGCCCTCATTTTACCAGAAAGAGCATAGGAAATGCAAAGCACAGTCTGCTTCCTGATATGCATCTATATGAGAGCCTTATGTTTCAGTTCTGAATAAATTTGCATGAATAGGTATCATTGATTTTAGTAATAGCTGCAGTTTCTCTGGTTTACCAAGTTCACATTAGAATATACAAGTAGTTTGATGATAAACTTTATTTCACATGAATCTGAGTTCGTATTTTTAGTGCACACATAAACATATGTATTCCAACTTGGTGTTGTAGAGAGTGACTGCTGGCAGTACATCTGTATTTGACAGTTTCTGTGGAAAACAAGAAATTTTATTGTTGCATTGGTGGCTATATTAGCATTTTGGTTGATTATCATGGCTTTTAAGGCGATGCCTTACAGTGGAGCTAATTCTTCAAAAATGCAGGAGGTTTTTGTTCAGCCTTGGCCATTTAGGTTTGGTATAATAGACGTTGTCCAGCACATGTGGAGGATACCATGTTGAGAAAGCCTGTTTTATATGGTGTTGGTGGTCTTTTTTAAGCTCTCCAAGATTTATTTTTGCTAACTAGGAATCTGAAATGGAGATTTTGACTTAGATGCCTTTCTGACTAATGTGGACTATAATAATACTTTCCCCCATTCCACCAGCCTCTGAAGTTCCTTTGCTTGTTCACTCCCTTCCTATCAATAAATAACACTTAGTCCCTATTTTTCCCTTGTACAGAGTTGTCAAAATTCAGGCCCTTGGATTAAATCTGTTATGTCTGGGATCTTAATCTGGTCCTCTAGTTCCCTAGGTAGCCACAGCCAATTCTCTTGATCATTTCTCCTGACCTCTGATTATCTGATTGTTGACCGCTGCACGGTTTTTCTCAAATCAAAATGGCTGAAATGCCTGAATAAGGTTTATTTACTGGTGATAAGAGCTTTAAGCTAAAATATATTGGGGGTTTTGGCCCACTTCCATTGCCTTTTATTCTGCTCACTGCTGGAATGTGCCCCCCTGAATCTCAAACATTGAATTTGGCCATTAAGGGTGAAAGAGGTATAATACCTCTGCCCTAATATGTGATTTATTTTTTATCTATGCCTCGGGCCTTTTCCTCCTCTGTCTTTTTTCCTAGATCCTCAGATTTCATTTTACTCTCTTCTCTGTCCTTTTCCAATCACCCTGTCTCTATTTCTTTTTTAGATTTCTTCCCTCCTAGGGTTATATCATAAAACTTCCCAGCCTTCAGACTCTTGGCCTCTCCAGCATCTTTGCCTTTGGACTTTCATCCTGCCAATAATATTCTCTCTATCCTGTGTGATTTTTAAAAAGTTCTGTCACAAAATGTTGTTTTCAGTGTTACATTGATGATATTTTTCTCCTTAGAATTTGGACTTTCTTTAATTACTGATACTTAACAAAAATGGGGACGGAAGTTGCAGTTACATGCTTAAAAGGTTATAGCTGGGTTTTAGCCTAGTAAGTAAAGATAAAAGCTACAAATGAACTTCTACTGTACAAGATTTGATAAACAATCAGACTTTTTTACAGAAAAAAATAAGTATACCACTGAATATGGCATGGGAGCATGCTTTTTTGATCCATTGGAGGAGAATTAAATCCAAAAGTTATTGCATTACTTATAAATATGACTATACTGAGAGTGAGAATCTGTTCAGACAAGATCTTGTATTTGGTGTACTAAGTTTGCTGCTCCCTTTTACCTGAATATTACTTTTTCAAAAAAATGAGAACATAGTTATTATGGGAAACTCTGCAGTTTCTTTTTTCTTTTCTTTTTTTTCTTTTTTGGCAGCAGCCATCTAGCAAATGTATTCTTTCTCTGCAGTATCAATTTTCCAGATATTTTACACACACTGGCAAGATGGTCTGAACTTTTCAGTTTCAAAGATGGGAGGACTACAGTACATATTTTCAAAAGTACAGAATGACCCAGTTGCTAAACAGCTGTCACAGTATGGACACTTTGCCTAATCATTGGCAATGTCATTTTATAGAAGGAGATATTACTAACATTTGTATTCTATCCTTCATGGAATAGAAAGTGACATCCCCATTTTTATCCCAATTATACCCCTTTAGGTAATTTAGATCGGGAAGTAACTGGTCAGTGTTACTCAAGAAACTTCATGACCGAGGAAGGTTTTTAATTCATTTTTCCCCAAGCTGTTGCCATGCTGTAAATTACAATACACTTGTTTTCTTCACTGTTTTCAGTTGGAGAAGTAAAATGTGATGGTGGCATGAAAGAAGCCTTAGACCAACAAATTAAGTTAGTATTTCATGTATCTCAGCCATGAAATAGATCTACTTCTTAAAATTGGTATAGTAGGAAATAACAAGAGTACAAAATACATGAGAATAGCATCTGGAGGTTCTTATAGAACAGAAATTTTGGAAGGTATAAATGTTTCCATTTATTTATATCCCATACATACAGGGGTGAGGCTAATCCAGTGTTGTCTTGCAAGACTTCTTTTAAGCTAGAAGAAAGTAATTGGTCAAAGTCTATTCAGTGAGTGATAGCTACTATGGGAAATCTGAATCTTGGTCGATGTCAGCATTCTAACCACTCTACCACAGTGAGTCTAAAATGTCTTGAATCAATCACTAGTTCAGCTGAGCATTTTAAGAGAAACACCTGTAATGGATGGGATTTCTGCAAATTACTTTAATTTCAAAAAGTACAATTCCTTTTGGTTGTTTTTTTGCAACCTAATGAGCATGATCGTTATATGAACTTCACTGTATCAAAAGCAATTTTACTTTTTCCTATACTTTTCAGTACTTTTGCTAAACATGTATGTTGCTATTTACAGAAATTGTTTAATTTTTCCAGACCCACAGTTTGAGAAAAATTATGTGGATATTAAAACAACCGTGGATTCATACTGATCCCTGATTTGCATTGGACAACAATGTTACCTTTGGCTGCTTCTACTAATTAAGACATATTTGGGGTATTGAAAGCAAGGATTTTGTATATTAAGGCATATTTCTACTAGTATATGACTTATCTTTTTACTGTGTTCTCATTTTTTTGAATGTATAAAAATGCTTTTGACTTGCTACACCCAACATTACAGACCATTATGATCTGATTTATCAGTGAGGGCAACATAGTGCCTTCTAGATGTTTGGATTACAGCTCTTGCTGGCCCCAGCCAGCATGGCCAGTGCTCAGGGATCATGGGAAATATAGTTTAAACATCTGGAGGATATCCCTGGTTTAAAAATATGTGAAACACTATTTGTGGACTAGTTGATTTAAATAATTTATTTAAATCATCAATTTTGTGATTAAATCAGAATTGAATGGCAGTGTTTCAGATTGCCTTAATTTAAATTCACTGTATACCTGGACAGCTTTATATAGGTTGATACCGGTAGTTGTTCCCCCTGCCTCATCTCATGTTTCATTACAATGTTCCTTGGTGCTCTCATTGATAACTGCCTTATTACTCAGGGTGAGTTTGCATGACAGAGCAACCCACACTACTAATAAGCTATGCAGAGTGAGTTGTTTGCTGGACAACTCATGATGTTCCCAACCTATAATCTAGCTCACTTATGCTTATTCTCCCCTTTGGTTCTCTAGCCAGTATCTCTGTATTTTTTGTAGCACAGTTGAACTTTTCTTGCCTGTCCCTGCTTTATTTGCAACCCATTTTCATTCATTAATAGTGGAGAAGGTTGCCACTTTAAAAAAAGCAGAGCTGGGGTAAGTGGCACTTCAGAGTGATGGTTACTGGTCTGCCACTTAAAAAAAAGCTCCAGAAATGTGTTCGGACGTTTTAATTTTTAAAAAAATATTTTTGGTGATAAGTCTTCACAGCTGCACGAGTGAAAGAGCAAAAAAAATACATAGAACTCTCTTCCTCCCTCCGTGCACATTTGTGCACATGTAGCCTGTTGCTTCACACAAAAGGAAAAAAGAGTGAACTAGTAACATTTGTTCCAATGTGCTGCTTGGGCATTAGGGGAATAGCTATCACTTGTAGAGGCACAGGCAAGATCTCCAGCAGCAGTAGAGTATTGCTTCCCAATCCCCCATAACCCAGAATAAAATTGCTCTGTTAGGATTGGAAAACCCTTAAAACAAGGCATGGGTTGTTGGAGTGGGGGGGGGGGTTGCTCCAAAACAAACCACCCTGTGGGAAGTGGTTTGGGTTTGGATGATATTACAACCCACATTGGCTAGTTTTTGATAATGGCCCATATTCTATAAAACCAGTGAGCATATAGATGATGTCACTGCCTTTGCAAGTAATTCATCCCTTCTCAAATCACTGGCTATTTAAAATGTTAATCCTAACCATTTCTAACATTATACCAATTAATACAACCTATATATGTTGCTTCTCACATTTGCTTCTATACATTAGCATTTTTTGAATTCAGAGCATATGATACTGCAGGGCCCCCGTAATTGGTCAATGGCTTCCTATAGTATATCTCATTAGGAATAAGTGTATGTATAATGGGTGAAGAGCCAAGAGTAGTTTGGTTAGAACTTCCTAAGGAAGGTGGATAAGGTTAGTAAAAATTGTACCTGTGTTCACTGAGGACACACTCATGCAGGCATTAGAAAGGCACAATTTGGTAGTATTCTGCTCAGTGTATATGAGGAATGAAAGTGTGTGTGTGTGTAACTTCCTATAGTACCTCTAGCTTTAAACAAATGAATGTAATAATTCAGCTTATTTTTAAACTTCTGTTTAAATTCACGCTCTCATTGTCCTGGAGCCACTAATGATTACAGTAATCAGTAACGTATCATGCTTGCAGTGTTTTGATACAATTGAGAGCCAAATTCCAAAAAAACGTTTTAGGCAGGTGCTGCAGGTCATATATACTCAATTATAAAATATCTCATTCTTCATGTTTACATTTGAGTAAACTTTTGTTGACAAGGTGCTCTATTTGACTCAAAATTAAGAAAATAGTGGTCTAAATCCAAGATAATTTAGATAATGCAAATAGATGTAAGCTTGCTCTATAGGGTTGCCCTTTTCCTTCCTGCATGCTCCCAATTTGCTGAAGCGGATTTGGGAAATTCAGGGATGGGTGGGGTGGGAAATTCGGTCTGTCAGCGATGATGTTTCTGCTGGTGGGACACCATCGCATACAACCTAATGGGCTTTGCTTTTTTTAGTTACACAGATAACATAAACCAGACTACTTGTCTCCTGATAGCTGAATTTACATTGGTATTTACAAGAGCAGTAGTACTAGTTTTGGAAATTTATGTAAGGATTCCCAAAATGGTGGCTATGGAGTAGAGCTTTATTCAGTACCCACATCAAGGCCCTGTTTAAAGTGTTGGTATTGACCTTTAAATTTGGGATAAATTTTCTTTGAAGAATCACCCTTAAGTCTTTAAGATTGGCCACAGAGCCCTCCTCTCAGGCCTGTCAGTAATGGCAATCTAGTTGGTCACTGCAAAGGTCCTGTCTTTTTGTGCTTGCTGTCTTTTATGGAACTCCGTAAAGGTAGGTACATTTGATTCCTTCCTTTTTGCTTTTCGCTTATTTTGCTTTTAACTATACATACTTCTTGATTGTTTTTTACTAGATTGATGGGCTGGAAATGAACAGATTGCTCTGTTTCTAATTGTAATATTTTGAATTTTTCTTGGACTGTATTTGGAGTTGTGCCACAGTTTTTAGTTTAAGAACTTTCTATATATTAGTTCAAATGTTTGTGATAAGTTACCTTGGGAAAACATTAGTTTTGAAATGTGGCATATAAGTTCTGAAATGTTTTTTCTGTGATGGTTTGTCTGAATAAATCTTAAAGGTACTAAATTTTTACATGATTAAAAAGATCAGTATCTATACATTGATTTTTCTCAGTTTAGGATATACCTATTGACCCTCAAAATTATTGTTAGTTGATTTTGCTCCAATACCCGCTAGCAGTGGCTTAAGTTGACTGTAGAGTTTCTTTGGCCCATCTGGATCAGCAGAATATTGAAGCCAGTTAAACTTTATAAAAGGAACCACACATAAAGCATTTACTGCAAGTTGTGCTTTATTTGCACAACCACTTTTATTGGAGAGCTGGAAGCAAATGTCATAGAACAATTGTTTTAGAAGAAATTCTGTTATGTGATCGTGGGTATTATAGTTTATTAAACAAGTCTCTCTCTTAAAGGTAGGATTGTGTTTGAGCAATCAGCAATGTGTTTCATATAAATGGTGAAACAGACAGTTACATTTTAAAGGTCTGCATACTTTACTGTTTATTCATAAGTTGCAAGTTTGGCCTATTCAACTGCAGTCCTAGCCAAAATCCATGGAAACTGGCTCGTAGAGGAGCATATTGTGTTTATATGTTGCCCACACTGACCAATAAGCAATCATTTGCTTGCTTGCAGTGGCTAAAACAAAATTAATGCTTTCATATTTGTCATTTCTCTTTTTTTCTTTTTCTTTTCTTTTTTGGGGGATTGGGGAAGTTGGGCCATTCTCACATTGAAGATGAACTTTTAGGCTTTAATTTCAGTGCTTTATTTACTTACTTACTTCATTTTATACCAACCAATCACCAAGACACTCTGGACAGTTAGCAAAAGCTAAAATTAAACAAAAATTAAAAAGGTATAGACAGAAAATTTAATTTAAAAGAGCCAAACCATAATTATTATTCAGCACAGAAGCATAGCACTGGTACAGAATAAAATGGAATATATAAAAACAGTTTAAAAGTTAGATTGTTAAAATACTGGGAAAATAAAAAGGTCTTCACCTGGCACCATAAAGAATACAAAGTAGGTGCCAACCCTTTCCTTTCCTAATGACCATACTTCAAAGCTCCCTGTGTTGAATGTACTGGGCTTTGCCTACTTAGTTTTATGTCAAGTGAAAAATCTATTTTTGAAGGGTTTCTTGACCGTTATTCTGAATGTTATGACCTGTTGCTCTAATGATGCCCTTTCATTTTGATATTGCTTTGTGTGCTTAGTAAGAGGTACCTTGGCTCATGAACACCTCAGTTCACAACCACATCTGTCATGAACAGAAATTTTGGCAAAATTTTGCCCAGGTTGCGAACTCCACATTGGGTGACAATCACAATCGTGCCCGTCTTCCCTGCATGATCATGCTCCGGGGGCGGGGGGAGATGGCCACAATCGTGGTCATGCTTGGAAGACGGGTGCAATCATGATCGCACCTGCCTTCCCTGCACAAGCACAATCACGGCCACCCCCCCCCCAGCACTATCGCTATTGAGCGATTATCATTTGGACTCTTCCTCCAAATAATAACCTCCTCCACACCTAGGTTAGTGTTCTCTACTGTACTGTGCAGTTCTTTGTTACTTTGTTCTTTGTCACTTTGTTTCAAATTTTTGTGATAAAAAATGGTTACAAAACGGATTAACCTTATTTACATTGAACCTTATGGGGAAATTTGACTTGGGTCACAACCAATTTTGGTCACGACCAGAGTCCTGGAATGGATTAAGTTCATGAACCAAGGTACCACTGTATATAAAACAAAAATATAGGAATTATTCTCCCAGGAAAACATAGGATTAAGAAGATAAATGCATTATTCCTGATGTATACTTGCTTTGACTGAAGTTGGAGGAACTTTTAACATGGAAAATGGAAATGATCTAATAAAGGACAGCTTTATGGCAACATCATTTTTTGTTTTCTCTGCTGTATCTACCCCTGACTGCAATACAGGTAGCTCTGATAGTTTTGCTGTGTAGTGAGTGCACTTTCTATGCTATATTTGAAATCTCCCTGGTGCTTATGCTGTCTACCTTCATTGTCTAACCCTTGCACAATGACTCTGGCTCTGATCTAGACACCATAAACATCTTCAGCACAAAGTATCGTAGCCTGCTTCTTCCCCATTTATTTATTGGATGCCTACCCCATCCCCTTGGCCAGAATGGTTCTTAGGGTGGGTTGCATTATAAAACAGCAAATACATAATAAAGTATAAATGTAACAAACATAAATGTGACAGTAATAAAATCACAGCATAGTGGGAGCTCCTTGTCTTCAAAAGATGGATCAGAACCAACAAGCAATTATGGCAGAAGCACAGCATCACGACCACAATCTGTTTAGAACAGGTGCGAGCCAATCCTGAACCTCCAAATAGTTTGGTTCACAATTCCCATCATCCCCAGTCATAACCAATGGTAAAAGATTATGGGAATTGCAGCCCGAAACATCTGAAGTATGCATGGACAACCTGTTGCCCTAGCATAGTTCCTTTGGCCCACTAGAAATTAATTTTAGGATAATGGATTTATTTTTATTGAAATAACACAATTCTCCCTTTTCTAATCAGTCTTGATGAAAAATTGCAGTGAACTGGAAAGTTTACTCACTGTTTTGCTTTGCTGAGTCCTAATGTACCGTTGTTCTTCTATTAGAAAAAGTATACCAATGACCAACAAAACACTGTTTCAGATTGTAATCAATAAGATTAACCAAAAACATCATGAACTGCTTTGGATCTAAGCAGAAGAACTCTGAAAGGATTAGAAGTCTGGCATTAAATCTGAGGTGTATAAGAAATATATAAATTAATCGACAATAGGATTGACAGTTGTTCAGATAGTTACAGATTATGCTAGCTTTAAATTTAGAAATATGACTAGAACAATATTGTAGAACTACCTGTGGCAATTTTATTACAGTGCCACAAGGGAATTGATGCCTTGAATTAGAGGAATCTGAATGCTGAAGAGTGTGTTCAAACATTTCTAATTGTACAAGCAAAATGCACTTTTTACAAAGCTCACATTTTTATTCCCAGTCATTAAGTATTTAAAATCAGAGACTTACTATTGAATAGGTGGCAGAGGAAGGGGGTATGAATTATAACAGTAACAAGATTACTCTGGGTTTCATGCTCATACTACTAATTAACTATATTGTGTGTATTTAACGATGTTTTTCATTCTTATTTTTAAACTGGGATAATTAAACAGTTTGTGCTCTTTCTTGTCAGCTTGGTTCATGCTAAATTTCAATTCTCAACTTCAATTTCTTTTCTCCGTGTGAGGAAAATGGAGAATATTAAGTAGGTGGCTTAGTTTTTATGTGAAAATACAGACATAGCTGGTTTATACCCTAATCGAAAATTAATTTCAGCCTATTGCTAATATTTAGGATACTGTTGTGTATACAGAGATCAGAATAGAAAACGTACGCTGCGATAGCTTGTTGAAATGAGCGAATAAATGCACTTCTTTGGATGAAAGAGATGAGTTCCCTTTAAAATTACGGCTTTCCAAGCCCTTCCTGATTGACAGCGTACCGTAGTCACATGACTTACTTCTGTTTGAAGGTCACAAAAAGCTGCTTCCTTTATGGAGAAAGAGGAGAGCTAATAAGCTAGTGCGCGCGCGCGCAAGCGAGGCGCGGGGGGGCGGGGGAGATAGAGAGAGAGGGAGAGGGAGAGGGTGAGTTCAAGTCAAAATGGCCGACGGAGTCTGCTAGCTTTTGAATATTTTAAAATTGAGAAAACAGAAATACAGCAAAATCATTTTGAGATCTCTTCACTTCCATTTTACCTTGTATGCCTCAACTTGCTGGATTTAAGCACTGTTGCACTTTATGAGGTTAGTAGTTTTATATCTGCTTTTGTGTAGCATACTGATTTTTTTGTGTGCGTTTAGTTTGACCGTTTCGTGTGATACTGCACCACGATGTTTGCCTCGCTTAACCGTTTATGAGTCACTTCATTTTGAACGTATTTGCTAGGTTTTTGAAAAAAATCGGTTAAAAATACGTGGCATATTTGGGGAGGTTCTAAATGCGTTTTAAATACACTTGCATGCAAACTAGCCTAAAGTGCTTCACTGTATCAATTTTCCCCATTTTATAAGGTTCTGTTAAAAAGCTCTTACCCATTTCTCCCACACTTTTGAGATTTTTATATCAGCTGCAAAAATAGCATAAATTAAATGAGCTTGCATTCTTTCTTGCTGCTAGAGGAGGGGGAGGTGCATATTTTATAGTCTCTATTTCCAGAAAGCTACAGGACCAAATAATGTAGCATTGCACCTTTAAAAATAGGTTTGGAACAGGTATTGAAGCAGTTCAGGAGTTTGAAAGATACTTATGGCAAATTTGCCATGCACATTATATATTGCTGCTGCGTGGGAGCTTTTCCCTGCACCCCAGTAACTATTTTCCTTCCCCCTTTTTCCTTGTAGCCAGATACATTTTGGATTGCAGTTGGAACCAAATGGTCATATCCTGTAAAAATGGCATTGAGAGTTCGGAAGAGGCAGTCTTGTTAGCTCCAGTTATGAAATTGTAGCCTGCTTTAACTGCTTTCTTGAACAGTTTTTTTTCCATTTTAGTTTGCAAGCTTGAAAACTGACTATATTAGCACCAGCCTTAAAAAGGGGGGAATATTTACATGTGAATATACTGTGCTGTTTGACGTGTACATTCCTGTGAGCTAAACAAAGATGGTATCTTATAGATGCAAAATGCTTTTACATTTAAAGTGCACATCTTTTCCCAAAGGAAGTAGAAAAGCAGTAAGAGGTCATTGTAAATCTTGCTTTCTATGGGCAAGCCCTTCCCCCTGCGTTGTGAGAATGTGATGTAATGCACCTCTCTGTGGGGTGAATTAAATAGGATAATGTAGATTTTAACTGTCATGTATTTTCTCCCTCTTTCTGAAAAGCCGGACATTCAGGTGGTATTATGATTATTTTTACAAAGAGAGAGAGAGAGACCTGGCCTGAAATTGGTACATTACTGGAACATTTTTTTGAGATTATAGATTTTATGATAGTGGACTGTCTTGTCACTGTTCTTGAATCCTTGTTTGTTTCCTACTGCACAGATCAAACAAAATTCATACTATCTTATCAGGTTTTTAGCCTATTCTACAGCTTAATAGAACTGTTACCAGATTTTTTAGAATTTACCAGATCTGTTGAATTGTGTTATGTATTACCAAAGAAATGATTATTTTAGCTGAGTCTGACTCACGGCTTCATTCTTATGGAAGGGGGTGACCTACTTAAGACAAAGTAACCTTGGCTCAATTTCTAAGAGTTAATATATATTGCACCTTGTATTCTTTTGCATATGTCATAATTCTATCTTACAAGATCTAGTGATGGACATGGAATTAATGATGATAAAACACAAATAGGTATGGAAATGCATTGAAAGTAGTAAATATTGTCTTGACTATTGAACCATGTGGGCCATTGATACAGGCCTTTGACAGGGGAAAACTGCTGAAAGTTATGGTCAGGATGATTGATTAAACCACCACCAAAAATTGAGTCCCTTTTTGAAAATCCTATTTCCTAAACAAGCCTGCTTAATAGTTAGTTGCTATAACAATTAAAACAGATTGGTTTGCAACCAAATAACCATTGTGGCAATAATCCAAAGTGTCTGGTTATGCACCCCAGATGCACAATGATAATTTAAGTGAAAAGAGATGGTTTCTCTGTGACCTTTTGTAGCCATGGAAGACATTGAGTATGTTGTGAATATCTAATTAGGTGTTCAGTAGGGATTACTTTCAAAGTGAAATTTACTTCTGTGTAAGTATGCATAGGATAGACTAGACTGCATTTCACATGCAGCGGCTGGCTGCTACTGGATAATCTGTTTGTCCATGAGATAAATAATTTGTTTGTTCATGATATTTAGTTAATAATGATATGAACATTTTACTGAGCTGAAAAAGAACAGCATGAAATATAGGTACAAAATAGGAATATAGCCCTGCTGGCTCAGTCCAAGATCCCATCATCCAGTACCCTGGGAAGCCAAAAGGAGGTTATGAAAGTAGTAGCCCTTTTCTGCAGTTGCCCCCTGAAAACTTGTATTCTGTGACACAGAGCCTGTAAACACAGTGATATCATTTAGCCATCACTGTTAGTAAGGATTGGCCTAACCTTGATAAATTTGTCTCATCCTCTGTAAAATCATCTAACTTAATCATGTGGCAGTTAATTATACAGACTGGGATATTTGCTTGTTTATTGTTTTATCTGCCAAAAATGGCAGTGGAATGTGAAGTACTTATCAGTCCTGAATTTACTGCCCAACCATTTCACGTGATCCCATTTTCTAGCAATATGGGGGAAGGATGAAAAATGGTTCTTACTGTAGTTCTCTGCTCATCTACCTCTGTTGCCTTTCTCTCCCTCATGTATAATTAAGTGGATGATCCTGGTACAACACAGAGTAACATCTACTGGATTTTATCACCTATAATCAATTGTTAATCCATAGGTTTGGTAGGAGGCCTACTATAAATAATTCTTCTTTTATTTCTTTTTTTAACATGGAAAAAGAAGTCTCTATTTCTGTAAACTGGTGTACAGTCATGATTTAATTTTAATATACTCTGACCTGGATCAGTTGTAAAAAATGGTCCAGTAAAACCATGCTTTATGTCACCAAGGGCAAAATTTGTTGATTTTCATTTCCCATTGCTTGTCTCTTGTGACCTATAGGTTTGTTTAATCCATAATTTCCTATGAATGTAGAAATTAGGAAAGCACAGTTTAACAATCTTGAGGTACATATCAGGATTTGAGAATCAGCTTTTTAAACTATAGTTGCCTCATTAACATGTAACGGAAAGTAAATCCAAAAATCTTTTATTAGGAACATGAGAGGAAGCAAAAGAATATGGCCACAGAGATTGGTTTAATAAACCATAGTTGATCAAGATAGTTACATCTGCTTCATGATTATGTGCAAGAACATAACAATAAGCATATCAGATCAGACCAAGTCTTCATCTAGTCCATTTTTGTTCATACTGCCACCGACCAGCTGCCCTTGGGAAACCCATAAAGCAAAGCATTGAAACAGACAGCACCCTTCTGCTCATATTCCCTAACAGCTGATACATATTGGCATACTACCTCTAACTTGTAGTCCCATGCTCCTTGAATGTGCCCGTCTCCCTTTAAAACCGGCCAGAGTGGTGGCCTATACTATATCTTATGGAAGTGAATTCCAAAGTTTAAATATGTGCTAAGTAAGGAAGAATCCTGAATCTCCCACCAGTCAATTTCATGGGATGACTCCAGATTCTAGTATTAAGATAAAGAAAAACAAATGTTTCCCTAATTTGCTTTCTCCAAACCATTCATAATTTTGTACAACATCCCAGTATTATCTCTCCCCTCCCCCCCCCCCCCAAGCTAAGTTGTCTCTGTTGTTTTAAACTTTCCTCATTGTGGAATTGCTCCTCTTGATCATTTTAGTTGCCTCCTCTTTTTTGCACTTTTCCCAACTCTACAATATTCTTTTTAGGTAGAATTGTACACAATATTCCAAGTGTGGTTGCACCATATATTTGTATATGAACAGTTTTATTTTCAGTTCCTTTCCTACTTATGCCTAAAATTCACTTTGCCTTTTTCACAGCAGTTGCACACTGGGTCAACATATTCATTGAGCTTTCTATTATGACCCTAAAATCTCTTTCTTAGTCAAAGTTAGCTTATATTCTATCAACTAATAATTGAAGTTAGGATTTTTTGTCCCTGCATGCATCACATTACACCTACTTATATTGAAACTTTTGCCAAACCATTAGATATCCATTCTCCCATTCTAATTTGAGAGAATATTTTGGAGCACCTCACAATTCTGTTTTGTTTTAATCAACCTAAATATTTTGGTGTTGCCAGCAACCTTGGCCACTTCACTGCTTACTCATAACTCCATATAATTTATGAATACATTGAAAAGCACTGATCCAAGTACAGATTCCCTTGGAATTCCACTGTTTGCATCTCACCATTGTAGGAATTTATATACTGTCTTTTTTTTCCTTCCAAAGAACTCAAAGAAGCTTACATAATTTCCTTTTTGCTCTCAATCTTATCCTCATAACAAGAACCCTGTGAAATAGGTTGGGAAGTTTGCTCAGGAGTCTTAAGTGTGGATATAGAATTTAATGTCTGCATCAAAATAATATTTCATTTTAAAACTCGTTATTTTTTAAATAATTGAAAATTAGTCACCCAGATTAATGCATTTAAAATATTTTTATGTCTCTGTATGCCACTTACTGAATGTATCTCATAAAACAGTATTTGTCTAGTGTTAAGTACTTGAAAGTAGCAAACTGTTGTGTGAAATTTATTAACTAATGCTTGGAATTTAATTGCAAGAACTGATTAGTATTCAGTGGATGGATGGCCTTGCATATAAGACATTTTCCTTTTTTTATAGGGCAAACTTTATGCTTGTCTTCTTAGAAGCGAGCCCCACTGAATTAATGGAATTTACTCCCAGGTAACTGATTATAGGACTGCATCCTAAATGGCCCTTCTAGGGAGAGCATTTAGTTGAAGTTTGAATAATGTACTGGATATCAAATTGATATATTTGCTTGTAAAATTTAGGAAGAGAACAATGTATTTCTTGAGCTGGGATCATTCTACTTTCATTGCTGCAAAGTTATGAGATGCCAGTTAGAATTGTAAAATTGTTGAGAAAAGTGGAAACATGATCTCTTATATTCTTTCATTACCATTCGTAGCTTCCTGCATTATTTTACAGAACAGAGGCATCACAATTAATATACCTCCCAAACTGATTAGTAGGGCTGCAACTGACTATGTCATGAAGCAGGCTGGAATGTTCTTTCCATGAGTGGATCCACTGGTACAGAACAACTATATTTTGGCTGCAGCACCTCTGCAAAATGAAGTGCATGCTGAATGAGGAAGCATCAATCCTGTTCTTGCAAGGTGTTCTACTAGACACCTTGAGTTCTTTGAGCTGTCTGGAAATAGCAGGTTGATGAGTGTGGACTGCAGCAGCAGAAAAAAGCTGGTTCAGACACACCCTCAGAAGCAAATTATACCTTAAGCAATCTGTTCAGATTAATTACTGTAAAAAATCCTTTAAGGTCCTGTGGAAGTGTACTCCATCTTTGCATCACGCACAGAAGGATAGCTTTGTTTAAAAATGGTATGTCACCGTCTTTTACTTCATTAAATGAATCTTTAACAGCTTAGTGCCATACTTGATGTAACTTCCATGTTGCCCATATGTATACATTCTTTGATTTTAAACTACCTTGATTAGAGCTATAAGCATTCTGTCATTGGGCTGGCCATACTCTGCATACTTTCATTATGGCTGCAGTATTGTGCAGCATAAGCCATGTTACAACATTTTGCAGTTGAATGTTGTGTATTGAATTTGAAAGTATGAAATTATCTTTTTTCATATTGCTTAATGATCTTGGAACATAACATCAGCCAATTGTGATACAGTGGGGAATGTGTTCTTAATAGGACTTGATAGTATAATGTTTAGCTTTGGTAATAGTTTGACTTTTTGGTATTTAAACACTTTTTTTTTTTTGACAGTCTGTGCATAGGTTCTTACATTGCCAGTTTTGGTATTTTGACTACTTTCAAATTGTATTGTAGTGTAATTTTGAGCCTTCCTTGACTACTGATTAGTATTACTGAATGTCTGTAATGCACTGTTGCACCCTGTACATGAAAGGGTACTAGTGCTGTTCAGATTTTCCATAGAGTTGAAAGGATGATGGAATGGCATCTTCATCCTCTTGCCCTGAAGCAGACTACCTAGCTGTCTGAGACAGTAGTTAAACCTGTTTATAGAAATTTATACAACAGCCTTCCAGTGTCTTCCAGATAGTTTGGAGTAAAGCTACCATCGGTCAACAAGCATAGCCAATGGTCTGAGATGCTGAAAGTTGTAATCTCAAAAATCTGAAGGGCACTAGGTCAGGAAGGGTGATGGATAGGGTGGCTTGAGGTAAGATAATTTCTGTCAGCAAATTTAAATGAATTAACATCAGTTGTCAGTGTTGATCATTAAACTTCTAATTCCTATGGAAATCTTCATACAACATTCATGCTGTGTTATATTAGCATTTGACACAAATTTAGTTAAAATGAACTCTCTGGTCAAAGTCATATATTATCATTTTTAGAGTAAGTTAGTAACTCATCAATGAAGACCTCAGGCTTGCTACGAAGAACATTCACAATTGTTTATACTACCAGACAGCCTCACTGTTTAGCAGCAGTTTCTCTGAACTTTGTTCATTGTTTATAGCAAATCAGTCTTCACATTGGTAGAAAAACAGAGCCTTAGATTTGAAGCTGAGTTTTAGAGCATTTTAATGACTATCTAGCTTGTTTGAATCTATCCCTATAACTGACATTTATTTCTTCAAGTTTTCACTCTAAATGAATGTGCTTTTCCTGTTTGGAGGGAATGACACAGTTTAATGAACCACACAGGTGAAGTGGGGAGCATTAGCTGGTCAAAGGTATAACTGCAGAGAAGCTTCAGATTTTGAGTACTATTGTCCACAATTTATACCAAACAATAGAAGCACCGCACAGAATTAAACCACACTTTTTTTAGTAACACATGAAATCCAATAATTGGTACTATATTGTCTCAATAATGGCCCTTGTTTAAAAATTTAGTGTTTGAATTATTCTAACTTTGCCCAAATAAAAGAACCTAAAATCAACTAATTTTAGACAGCCAGATAAAAACTTGCAAAGAAGTAGTTGTCAGAGGTTCCAAGTCTGAATCTACTTTCTTTGTTGCTCAAGCAAAGTTTATCAGTACTACTTTTACTTTCAAATGCTGCAACTGTGAAGCTTCTCTAGGCAAGGTTCATATCTTCATATTGATCAAAGTTTAACTGCAGTATTTACTGTTTGGCCTGCCTGTCACCTTTGGGTCTTTGCACAGGAGTATTTCAGTGCATTGTCTTAAAAGATCCTTGGAATAACTGTGTGTGCGCACCCCCAGGCATATGCATTGATGTCATTGTACACCAGATTTGTGAATGAGAGTATAATGGAGAATTAGCATGTTTTAAGTTTTGGTTCAATTTTGTGGGGGGGTGGGTTAAAAAGAGAAAATTAGAATTTAAGTGGCCTTGTTCTCCAGGTGCCTTCAGGCAGTTTATAGTGAACATTCTTCATCTGTCTCTGTCATTTTAACATATGCATAAATACAAATAAACCTGATACCTGCCCCAAACTGTGATAAGCATCCCATTCAAACCCAACAATGAAATCTCATTCAAATACAAATTGCAGACTGTTCCCTTAACCATTAGCTCCCATTGATAAATCATTAACCAGCCATCCTGGACTATTACCAGAAACTCCTAGGAATAGCTGCAATACTAGTAATGCTTGGTATGAGAGTGGTCAAGTAATCTATTTCATTTATCATCTTTCCACATGTATCCAAATTATGGAAACATAAGTCTCTGCTTTAAAGTAAGATAGTAACTCTTTAGGCTTTGTTTGCCATACTTGGGTGTGTTTTCACTATTGTGTACTGCAAACTTTCATACAATATCATGGATATAGCATTAAATTTGGAAAAATGCTGCATTAGGAATATAAAAACTCATTTGAAGTTGAGAAGTTCCAAGCATACAAAGTATCAGTGCAGGAAAAAAATAGATAAAATTCTATTTTTATTTGAACTACAAAATGTATTTCTCACTAAAACTACACAAGCCCCCAGCATCTGGGTCCGGCATATATTATTTGAGTGAACTTGTTTGGCTGTAGCTAACTTGCATTGTCTTTTACTCTTCTTTGTGAAGAAAAATAATCTTTCAACTAACAGTTTATGAAAAATGCTTCAGTCGAAAGATATTTTACGCATCTATATATTTAAAATGTATTGTTGAGTAAAATTGTTCTTTTATAGCTATCTTTGGTTTAACTGTTAGCGGTTATATTTAAGGGACTGGAAAGTTTTCAAATGGAAATTTCTCAAAAACCTACATCTTTGCTCTAAGGAAACAAACATATTTTTAATGAATCTTGAAATCATCTTAAATGCTCTTCAGCTTGAATTTCTTTAAAAGTCTCTGTTTTTTCCACACATAACTAGGAGCCAACCCCCCGCCCCCAAGTTTAGACAGAAAAAAGTCCTACACCTTTCAGCATGCCTCAGATGTGGGACATGGGACTGCACGATAAACCAAAGTATTGATGCCACCTGTGAAACAGAAACACATCTGTATAGAGACACTTTATTCTGTTACTCATTTGCTATAGTTGTAATGTGCTTCCTCTTTCATTGAATAGCCCCTTGGTGTTATGCTTTCTCAGTGATAGGAGAGGAGATGTGGTTTCAATCCTCCTAGCAACCGATAACATCACTGAACTGTGGTATCCTGCTCCTCTAGTCCCACTATGTTTCAATGTATAAGCAGCTTGCTGATTGCTAAGGAAGTTATAAGAGTGTTGCCCTCATTTTCTGCAGGATTTTGTAGACCTTTGTGAGACCTTATCATCTGATACTGCAAAGTTCCAAAATAAGTGGGGGGAAACCATTTATTTGTTTCAGATTGCAGGTCACAAAGCAGTCCTGAAAAAAGTTTACCGTAGTCAACCTAAATATTTGTTCTTGTGCAGAAAATGGTTGCATTGCTGACAGTGATACTTTGTGATTGTACTACTGTGGTGTTTAATACACTTCTGTCAGAGGCAGTTGTGTATTCAGTATTTTTTATGGATCATGTTCTATGAAATAGTTGTAAATTTACTTTCAAACTGTTGAGAGTGCGGGGTTGCTTATTTATCATCAGGTACCTTTCAACTGTTCCATAGGAAAGGATTGGTAACCTTTCTGCGACTTCTTGTTAGAAAACTTCTTGGAAGTGAATTACAGGTTTAACATTGAAGCAGAATTAGGGAACCTACTCCTAAGTAGATCAAATACAAATCTTAATATAAGGAATGATTGAGAAGGAAGAAAATTAGAGTATAGTGTTGCCCAGTTGCCAAAAGTTGTTGGGAATGTACAAACTTCCTTAGAATGTAACAAAATTGTGTTGTACTGCATGTATTCCTTTTGCTCTAAAGAATTAAATTTGTGGGAATTCAAATTTCTACAGTGTATTAGTAGTCATTCATATTTTGGATTGAGCCTCCGTTCATGGTCACTGAAGTGGTGGTTCTAATGACTGGAGTACAGATGTGTACAAAAGGGTTGGGGGGTAATGGAAAGAATGCTGAACTTGTACAGGTTTTCATGTAAATTAAAATTCTAGAAACCCAATATCTAAAATTGAAATGAGAAAATGGAAGATACAAATATATATATGGTTATTTTCCTGACTGTTTTTTAAACAATATCCTGCTTCTTTGGGATATTTTTAATTGTGAGAGAAGGTGAGACAAGCGCAATTACAGCATTTCAGCTAGAAAACATTAGTTTCATTCATGTAGAGAAGGGCACAGTCCACAAAAATCTTATAC